CGTAATATAAAAAAGTTCTTTGTTGGCCTAGCTATCCGATAAATCAGTGTATGGCGACCTTGAAATATATTAGAACACTTTTGCTTTCATGTGATTGACCCTAATGTGCTTTTTCGTATCCTGTAATTACAAGATAGCTATCTTACAAGATAGTAATTACAAGATAATGAGAATATTATTATTTTTTACATTTGATGGACCCTAATTGTCTTCAGTTCATTCATTAATTTAGTTAATTAGTCACTATCTCATCATATTATTAGATAATATTATATGATTGTCCGTTAAATGAATACTACTATATATGTATTATAACTTGTGAATGGCTGTTAAATACTAATAAGGTTGTTGATAACACCTTGACCGTTATAAATGATCTCAGGTAGAAGCATAATTCAGACATGCTTATCAAGAGACAGGCTTACCGAGAGACCACAGATCGGAGATCGCTGTACAATACAGAACGAGGGCATGTGACAATGGAAGCAGACGTGAAGTAGGACGATGGCCATAATAACTACAATCTGTTATGATATGTTATGTCCCTGTGTGCTGTATTGGTTGTTAGAATTATAGATGTAATATAACTTTTAATGTTTGTCCCTGCATTGTTGGAATTAAGAAGTCAAATCCATATTCATCGTTATCATTATATCCTTTACTATGTTACAATAGTCTCGACTGTCAAGTACCATTGCTACGAAAATAAAAGTCTCAATTATCCATTTTAAAGTTGAATTATTAAATGGCGGGCTTTTGTTATCCATTCAATATCACGGTAATCCGATTATGGGCTTGCCATGTGGATAAATGCCTAAGTAAATTTTATATAGCATTTGAAGCAAAAAAGGAAGACCTGCAATATTATGTAGGTTTAGCTTTTACATAATGCATCTTTCAGTAACGCTGAACTTGTATATCGAGAAATACTTGGGTCGTGTGTCTTCGTATAACTAAAAGTGGGGTTTAACGTCCTACTGTTCTGCTCCGGCTGGGCTAATGAAGACGGGCATACGCCAAACAGTGTGCTATGAGGGAAATTTTGCCCGACAGCGGCTCTTGGTATAGCAATATATTAGAATGCGGGTGAGGTTTAATTTTTAATATGCGTTGTGGGAAATTTTGGGGAATTCATCTAATGAAACTTTATATCCAGGTACATTGCTGAATCTGAAACATACATTAATCAGTTTTCGATCATTCATTTGTATGTTGATTCCAGATGTGCCCAATACGTATATCTCGGCTTTTAGGTATAGCCCATTTTTTTGTTGAATGAACTTAACCATGCAGTACAAACTATTACTGATAAAGCCGGATCTGACGCCACTGACGCCAGAAACTATTTATAATTTACGGCTTACAGTTGATCAATGCTTATACAAGGTTTTTTTTTCTTTTGATTTGTTTTGTGAGACTATATTATGTCTTAATTCAAAAAAGTAAAACTCTTTACATAGGTCAAAACTTAAATTAAAACGTGCTGGACGAAAAGTAAAATCGTCGATTTCATTATATTTCACGACATGGGCTTGAATTGTGAGACTATGGTTTAATTCAAAATTTTATATCCAAACTAATAACAGCACAATTCGACACAGAAAGATAAAAATAAACTGGAAACGAACCGAAATGACCCGTCATTAATGGAAATGTCCAAATTCATTATTTTATTTTGACCTAGCCACAATAACCATACACGTTCATTGCGAATTTTAAAAATCCTAAAATGGACAGTCAGTTATATTCACACTTTTTATACGCCCACATTTTCATGTGGACGTATTATGCCGTCGCCCCTGTCCGTCTATTTCCCACAGATCTCGGTTCCTTTCGATATTGGCATATATCGGACGATAACTTCATGGATTATGGCCCCAGTTTGTACGAAAAATCACTTTTTTAGCTTGTGGACACTCAAGAGGTCACAATTTTCATCTGATTTTGATGAAACTTGAAATGCATGTTTATTACCCAAAGATCTTGGTTCCTGTCGATAATTGCACATATCGGATCGCAACTTCCTGAATTATGACTCTTGATTGTACGAAAAATCAGGTTTTTAGCTTGTGGTCACTCAAGAGGTAACAATTTTTATCCGATTTAAAAAAAAACGTTTGAATATATCACCGTTACACCCTAATGACGACTGAGTTAGAATTTCGTGAAAATCGAACCAAAACTGCCGGACAAAATGGCCGCCCCTCGTACGCAAATAGTGTAAATATATGGTATATCAAGGTTGTGGACCCTCTAGAAGTCACAATGTTGATCCGATTTTGATGAAACTTGAAATATATCTGTATAACCCCAAAACTTGGTTCCTGTCGGTATACTTGCATATCGGATCGTAACTTCCTGAATTATGACTCTTGATTTTACGAAAAATTGCTTTTTGTTTAGCTTGTTCTCTATCCTTCTCTTGCAAAATGCGGGCGTATCGTGCCTTGCAGCCGCTAGTTAAACTAATGTTTTGTTTTATTTTACTTTCAGCTTTCAGTCTCTTGTAAAGCGATTACACATCGCCCCTTCAACATAATTTAACAAAATTAATTAAGTTATTTGTTTGCTTATTTCTTTTTATAACAATTCTAACAAATAGAACAATATTTCAGTTGGAATAATTGTGATTCATATTTTGACTCATTAATAAACAGTCAATAGTCGTATATCTCAGTAATCGATAAACCATGGATTGTTCTGTACAGCAGAAAAGTTATACCGTATGCTTAAAAAAAATAATCCCTGTCCAGTGGAAAACTCGCCAAGCATTATTCCATATTTCGATTTGTAATAGTTCAATAAATATTCTCAATTCCCCCTGTTAATGTTATTCCGAAAATGATCGGTCCATAATAACAAACCAAAATTTGTAACTGAGGTGTTGACGTTAAAAACTGGAATACTCGAATACCTAAAGTAAATTTATCCGATAATCATTAGATTTTTTATATGGGGATATGAAATCATGAAAATGTTTGAATATATGCTCGTATTATACACAGTGAAAAAGGTATCGCATCACCCTTTTTTGAAAATAGTGTTAATGTTTGATCAGATATGTTAGCTATTTTACGTTCTTGGAGGCATCTCATCTTGTGGAACTGCCCCGAGGAAATATTGAAGAGGGACATTACGGAAGTTGATTTAATGTAATGTATTCTGGCTTAAAGATGGAACCGGAAAATGGGTGAAACCAAGTTCAACCAACTATGGCTGGTACAGGTCAATAGGAAAACCTATAGTTAAGGTTAATTCATGTTCAGGTTGTCGTGCTGCATTGAAAAATAATTGAAACGGTTAGCTAGGAGGGCGAATCCTAATGTCAATCATCTTCGATAGAGGGCTTGTTCTCGCTTTACTGTGTTGGCCGTATATAGCACCGCTGTCCGGGCAAATTTCCCCTCATAGCACACTGCATGGCGTATGTCCGTTTTCATTAGCCCAGTCAGAGCAGAACAGTAGGACGTTAAACCCCATTTCATTTTATTTCATTGATCGTTTTTCAAAGGTCTGTAAATATGAGTATCGCCCTTCTACTGACCTTGACCTTGTAGATTGCTCGCGTAAATTATTATTTTCCGTCCTAGTCCGGAATTTTGTTCGTATGCAAATGAGCTTCGTCGTAGATCCCATATCAGGTATATGTTCTAATACTAAGTCTATTATGCATTTATCTATTATGCAAACTGCAGAACGGAAAAGTGTAATGTGCAAAATAACTAATATACTGTATTTGTATTAATGAAAAGTGTATTTTGTATTTTAACAATATTGGTATTGTGAAGCAATGGAAATTGCAAATTGTAACACTCAAATACGTATTTTGAACTGCTGACATATGCAGTTTGCACCGTGAACATTGAAATAATATTGGCAACGTTATCCTTCCATATTGAAAAGTGTATTTTGCATTTTAACACTGTGACATTGATATTGTGGAGCAATGGAAATTGCAAATTGTAAACCTAAAATACGCATTTTGAACTGCTAACATATGCAGTTTGTACAGTGAACATTGAAATAATATTGGCAACGTTATCCTTCTATAAAAATCTGTCAAGAAAAATCCCTTTACTGTTCAAAATTACAACAGTTCACAATGCGAACCTGCTCTTTGACTAATTTAATTAATTCAGCCACTGTACAGAACAATAAAGTGACTAGATACCAAAACATATGGGACAGAATCAACCAAAGACATCGAAATTTACAAAGATAATTATTTGCTATATGCGTGCGCTTAAAGATGGGTTCCCAGAAAAGTATTTATCGGGTGGTTATTTCCAATAAAAGTATGACAATTTTGGTATATATGGAAAGTAGAGTAATCCAATCTTACTGGATAAATACTGGATTCCCCGAAACACACTCATGGAGCGTATACAGGACAAAAATGTAAGGGTTCCCCTAATCGACAGCCCGACGATTAGGAATTTCTGCACGCGTGATGCCAAAGGTCACACGCGAACATTGAGCGCTTGATGTACAAGTTGATAAACTTTATGAAGAGTTAGACGTACAACACTTTCTGGGATAAAAATGACCGAAAAAGACGCGGGTAGTGGATAATCCGAGAATTTAATTGGGATTCGATATTTGTAATAAATAGTAAGCGATTAAAGACAACATCGTCTTATGTATGCAATGAATTCCCCTCTGACTTCCACGAGAGGTAAGTCACGTGACGTAAACATGACCTGTTTGATCGAATTTTTATAGCAGTGCATTCCTTCGCAATTTCAATGTTTGAGAAGGATTTGAAGCAAAATTGTGACAAATTAATTAGTTTGAATATGTTTTTAGTCCATATATACCATTAAATCACCCAGTTTGTACGCGGGAATGTATCTTTAAGTATCTGACAACCAGATACCATCGTGGAGGTGGAGTCGTGTTTGACCTGAACCAGTTTTTTCTTTTTTCATGTTGCCTTCGTGTATCACAGAGTGTATTAATACTATCTGACCGATAAAACATAGATTGGAACTGTACTAAAGGTTTATCTTGAATTATCTTACTATAAAAAGGTGTCAAGAAGAAGTACTGCCACAGTTCTTATTGACACACGTAGAAGACAACCACGGTAAGTTAATATATATCCTAGATGTACCCCGGTAAGTCGGGTAAGTGTCGGGAATATTGGATCTTAACAGGTGGGAAACTTCTTGCTGTCAAAATATCTTTAATAAAATGAGATATGCGAGCATAATTATTTATTATCATGATTTTACATAGCTGTAATCCTGTCACAAGAAAGAATCAGATGCTCCATTTTGAGTGTGACCGTGAGGTTCGTCAGATATTACAAGAGGCTTAAATGGTTCTTAATACGGGAAACTTATAATAACAATTATCTACATACAGGACCGCGGATAACCGACTAGTACCTTAGCTACTAAGTCGGATAGACCTAAAAGACTGAAGTATCAAGTACAATCACATATTTATATGGAATTACTTGAAAACACTTGTCGAGATCAAGTGTTGACATACACTAGCATTGATGTAACAATTTACAATATAAGACAGACAGACGATAACTCCCCCCACATATTAGCTATGGTAGCCTCACTTGGAAGGCCTTTCATCATCAGTTTCCGGTGGTGACATCAGCAACTAACGGTGAACGTTAGCTTGGTCCGACATTTATTGATTTAATTTTAAATGGACGACTGTTTAAATCCAAACTGCATCCAAGCCACCCGTGGGTCTACAAGGTTGATTTTGAGCTTGTCGTGTAAATAAAGGTCTAATTTATAATTTCTATAACATCTGAAGCCTAAATAAAGACTTGCAATAGGCAGATTTAGCTCTTGCATAATGTATGCTTAATCATACGATTGGCATGTTCACCAGACAGGCAATATTGGCAGTTACTTTATATCTATAACAGTTTTATAAACAATAAGGGTTTATAATAAATTAACATGTCATTAGAATTACGTAACTTTTCATCCTTGGCTGTAGTCACATTTCAGTAGCACACACACACAATGTTTTGAAGAAATAGAATAATTATTGTCCTTAGGGTTTATATATATGTATGCAGAATAAAATTTGATGACTTTACTTTTTTAAAATTAAAGTATTATCTGAAATATTCTATATTTAAATTCTAACATAGAACTACTATAACCAGCACGGTTATAAAAGCAATAGGGGTAACTTTCAAACCATACTATTTGGAAAGATGAATCTCTAATAGGAATATCAGTCTAATAATGACTCCATGTAAAATCATTTGGTTTCATATTCAAGGCTTCTGACGATGTTAAGGTAACCAACCATTAGGAATTCCTCAATTCAATTTGAGAATATTTTTTGTGCTAACTTTGTATTAAATAACTGGTTATTTTAACTTATGTGTGTAGTGCGGCTGGTGTGGTAGGGTTGCTGGTGGGGGTGGGTAAAATATGAAGTTTTTATACGCCCACATTTTCATGTGGACGTATATTGTCGTCGCCCTGTCCGTCCGGACGTCCGTCCACAATTTGTTTGTGGACTCTCTACAGGTCACAATTCTTGTCCGATTTTGACGAAACTTGAAATATAGGTTTATCCCCAAAAGATCTCGGCTGCTTTCGATATTGGCATGTATCGGATCGAAACTTCATGGATTATGGCCCCTGTTTGTACGAAAAATCACGTTTTTAGCTTGTGGACCCTATAGAGGTCACAATTTTTATCCGATTTTGTTGAAACTTGAAATGTAAGTTTATAACCCAAAGATCTCGGTTCCTTTCGATATTCGCGCATATCGGACCATAACTTCCTGAATTATGGCCCCTGATTGTACGAAAAATCGCGTTTTTAGCTTGTGGACCCTATAGAAGTCATAATTTTTATCCAATTTAAAAAACCGTATTATTATATCACCGTTACACCCTAAGGATGACTGAGTTCGAATTTCGTGAAAATCGGCCCAAAATTGACAGAAAAAATGGCCGCCGTTCGTTCTCAAATAGCGTAAAAATATGGTTGTTGCCCGTATAGAGGTTACAGTTGATCCGATTTTGATGATACTTTTGGACCCTCTAGAGAGTGGACACAATTTTGATCCGATTTTGATGTAACTTGAAATACATGTTTATAACCCAAAGATCTTGGTTCCTTTCAATATTCATGCATATCGGATTGTAACTTCCTGAATTATGGCCCTTGATTGTACGAAAAAATCACTTCTTTTTTTGAGCTTGTTCTCTGTCCGCCTCTTGCAAAATGTGGGCGTATCTTGCATGGCAACCGCTTGTTTGTGTTTCCATTTGTCACAAAAATAACAGTTAAAGTGATGTTTTCAAAAAACGTAGTTTGTTAGGAAATCATCCTGATAAATTTGATACGATTAGTCTCTGCCAATCAAATGTCTCGAGAATCAAAGACTTTCGAAAGATTTCGTGGAATTTTCTCTATCCCAGAGTCCCCCAACTGCAGTGCAGTCTGAGTATTACTGAACGAACCCTGTAAATATGAAGTGGTGGAAACGTCCACACGACACAAACTATGTCATTTTGGGACTAGCAGATAGTTCAATTTTATTTCAATAATTCGCTTGCGCGTTGGGGCCTTCAGACGTGGGAATAAACCGGAGAACCCAGCCCCGCCATTCCACGCCATACCTTATAAAGATTATAATGGCCAATCAATTTGTTCATTTCAGACCTCAAGATGAAATTTTCTGTTGTTTTGTTGGTTTTGCTGCCATTGGCCCTGGCCGCACCTATGGAAAAGAGACTTTTCCTGGACGGTGAGTATTTAAAGATACATTAGTTAAGAGTTTAATAAAGAGTTGAACATTCTTGCTATAATAATTAAAAAAATAGATGATAAAGAAAGAAAATATTGACAATTTAAGTCCAATAACTCTTTTCTGAACGGTGGTGTCACTGTTGGAAGTTTGGACTAGAAATAGGCATCAACTGTGTTCGCACCGTCTACTAGAATTGTCGATCGTTTAATTGACAGACGATAACTCCACCCACATATTCTCGATTATCAAGTAATATTCTCAATGGCTATGGTACCCTCGCTTTGTAGGCCTTTCAAAACCAATTTCCGGTGGTGACGTCTGAGACTAACGATAAACGTTAGCTTGGTCGGCCATTTCTTGATTTAATTTTAAATGGACGACTGTTTAAATCCAAGCTGTATCCAAGCCATCTGAGGGTCTACAGAGGTGACTTTGAGCTTGTCATGTAAATAAAGGTCTAATTAATAATTTTTTTAACATCTGAAACCTAAATAAAGACTTGCAATATGCAGATTTCGCCGTTGCATAATGTAGGTTTAAATAGATTATTTGTAATACTGTTTTTTGGACAAAACGTTAAACCGTGCCATGAGTACACAGCCCCCCCCCCCCATCCCATCCTAGATAGACCTGCATTGTATGTACCGCCACATTTTCATATGGACGTATTATGTTGTCGGCGCTGTGTTGTTGGCACGTATCGGACCGTAACGTCGTGGATTATTGCCGATGTGTGTACGAAACATAGGTTGTGGACACTCTACGGGTCACAATTTTTATCCAATTTGATCAAATTTAAAATGTATTTTCATATCCTTAGGATCTCGGGGGGATACGTATCGGACTGTTACTTCCTGAAATAATTCCCCAGGTTGTACGCATAATCGTGTTTTTAGTTTGTGGGCCCACTAGGTTACAATTCTTATTTGATTTTCAAAACCGTTGAAATATATCTTCGTAAACGTAAACTATAATCACGTATGGACTCGAATTTTGTGAAAATCGGACCGAAACGTCACCTCAAAATGACCGCCGGACCCTTCACGCAGTAGTGCAAAAGTGTATAATACTATATACCAAGGTTGATGACCTTCTAGAGGTCATAAATGACAAGGAGTAAAAGGATCTGGATGCGTTTGAATATGGTGTATACGGGCTATAGTTTGTAACATTTTTATTTTGTTTATTTTTTAAATTTGGTGGGAGCCATAATGGCCTGGATAAAACGCTGGCTCGTTAGCCTGGAGGTCACGTGTTCGATCCCTGCATTGGTCGAGAAAGTTCATCGGGATTTTCAGATGTGGTTTCCCCTTGTCAGTGGTACATCGTATGAAAACCGATTCCCGTGTATACACTGGCATGCACGTAAAAGATACCTTGGCATTTGATATTTGATATAAGCGTAGGCCATAGTGCCGCTGCGCGGTCAAAATTTCCCTCATAGAAGACTGTATGACGTATGCCCGTCTTCACTAGCCCAGTCGGGGCAGAACAGTAGGACGTTAAATCCCATTTCATTTTCTAAATTTGGTTTGAAGCATTGGGGTTATGAGAGGATAAACCCTAGCAAAAACCATCGTTCTACGACTTTTCGGTCCGGAGTTATATCCCCTTATCCGAAAACGTTTTGAATGTGATAGAGATTACAATTTGAAACATATCTTTGTCAATATTTAGTATTCTGCAACCTGAATTATATACTTTAATTTGCACGCCAGTATATAGTGTTTATAATTATATTTTGTCAGATATATCTAAGTTTTTCGACATCCCAACATTGAAAGCTCACGTTCAAGCTATTGCTAATCAAGCCGGAAGTGACGCTACAGAAGCCCAATGTGAAACTACCTGTCACAGTGTTCTTCCAGGAAATGTTGTTGGAGCTGGATGTCCCCTTATCTGTAAATCGTAAGTTAATATTTTTATCCAGTAAGGGATTGTATCCACTAAAAACTATGTCAGACAAACTATAGGTTGTATTACTCGAACCCGTTTCAGTTTCATATTTAAAACCCTTTTTTAAAAATACCTATCTAGAACTGACTAATTTAAAAATCTACAATATAATATTAAGTTTCTTTTTATAATTTTGATTATATAATTATGTTGTTGTTATTTCAGTTTTCAGAGTCTGGTCTCCAGGTTTCAAATTGCATAAGAATTGATTGTTTGTTTAACTGTCAGTGGTTGTCAAGGGTGCTCATTTTATGACAATTTTCAATTTCGTTTTATGTAAGCAACAACCAATAAACCATTTTATTTCTATCTAATGTTTGCATTTCTTTGTAATATTTTATTAAAATTAAAGAATAATGGTGCAGGTCCTCTGTGACCTATCTCATTGATTACCTGTAATCTGCCGTGTTACAACAAGGTGGGTTGGGTGGCCGCGTGCGATGAAGGTCGGGTCTACTGTGGCAAGCACACGCCCCCGCCCTCTCTTTCTCTCTCTCGTCACATGTGAGATTGACATATATCTGCACTCTAAAAAAAAGTATATAGGATGCACTTGCATGGGGGGGGGGGGGGTCAGATGCTTAAAATTGGCATGCATAGATTACTAAAACAATGATTTCTTGCACTGTACATATCTAAATAAGTGTAGATGTGATGCCACTTGGACAATTGAGGACAACAATTTTTTTCACAACCCTTCCTAAAAATTATGATTGTATTGTATCAAGGGATTCATTTAAATTATACAATTCAAATATGCCTTCAAAATATACACTTAATTAGAGATGTACAGTGCTAGAAATTAATCTAAATGAATAAAACGATGAAGGCATCCTATCCTGTAATGCATGGCAGATGCTGACATTTTTTTTAGTGACGCACATTTGGCTACATTGATCTAGTGTATTGTCAGAACACCAAATTAACCAAAAATATTATTTGCAACCCAGCCGTATGGTTTATTAACACGCAAATGAAATTGTAAAAGATGGAATTGAAGGCCAATTGGTTTGACCTTCATTGCAGCTAGCTGGTAAGCATTTCTAGATATCAGAATTTCGCTGTTAACAGCTAGAATTTGTGGGAGGGTGAAACGAGCTTAATGAGTTAATGAGTTTTGCTATGACAGTGGCACCTCGATCACTTACATGTCTTCTGGGGAACCCATACCTGGTTAAAACCTCATCATAGAAAAATCTTCTAACTTCTCCAGCCTCTTGGGTTTTTGTGGGAAATACTCTGCCCAACCAGTGTGGGAATCAACGACTAACAGAATGTTCTTGCAAACTCTAGTGCTTGTAATGAGCCGAGGAAGTCTACGTGAATGCGTGAGAATGGCTTTTCCACCGACATAGGTGTCGGAGGAACTGCATGGTACTGCTCTGCTTTCATACACTGACAGGTGTCGCATTTGGCAACGTAATTGTTGATTCATTGATACATTCCAGGTCGCTTTTAGGAAGATTTGGCTCAGTTGATACAGGGTCTGCAATGGGTGGCCTTGGTTCGTCTTTGTAGGTGATGCGTATTTCAAAACCATTGTTTATGTGTTTTGGGGCAACAGCGCACATTGACTTTCGGGAACTTGAACCTTCTCTGATGAGTTTGATGTGCCGGGGTCAGTTTGGTGAAAAAGGGTATCAGCTTTGGTGTTCTTCTTGCCAGATCTGTGAATGGTGCCGAAATCATCTATCTTCTATATATATATTTGTGACTGTCGTTTGTGACTGTCGTTTAGCTCGGACCGGGGAGTAACATAGGCCAGGTGGCGTTAGTCTACCACTTACGGTTTCGGAGTTATGACCCCCGAGCGAAGCCGGGTATCCTGCTAGTATATATATATATTTGTGACTGTCGTTTGTCTGTCTGTCTGTTCGGGGTTGGCGGCTACACTAGGTCTGCCCCGAGTCTGAAATTTGGGGTATAGGGGTAGCTCGGACCGGGGAGTAACATAGGCCAGGTGGCGTTAGTCTACCACTTCCGGTTTCGGAGTTATGACCCCCGAGCGAAGCCGGTCTGTTCGGGGTTAGCGGCTACACTAGGTCTGCCCCGAGTCTGAAATTTGGGGTATAGGGGTAGCTAGGACCGGGAAGTAACATAGGCCAGGTGGCGTTAGTCTACCACTTCCGGTTTCGGAGTTATGACCCCCGAGCGAAGCCGGTCTGTTCGGGGTTGGCGGCTACACTAGGTCTGCCCCGAGTCTGAAATTTGGGGTATAGGGGTAACTCGGACTGGGGAGTAACATAGGCCAGGTGGCGTTAGTCTACCACTTCCGGTTTCGGAGTTATGACCCCCGAGCGAAACCGGGTATCTGTCTGTCTGTTCCGGGTTGGCGGCTACACTAGGTCTGCCCCGAGTCTGAAATTTGGGGTATAGGGGTAGCTCGGACCGGGGAGTAACAAAGGCCAGGTGGCGTTAGTCTACCACTTCCGGAGTTATAACCCCCGAGCGAAGCCGGTCTGTTCGGGGTTGGCGGCGACACTAGGTCTGCCCCGAGTCTGAAATTTGGGGTATAGGGGTAGCTCGGACCGGGGAGTAACATAGGCCAGGTGGCGTTAGTCTACCACTTCCGGTTTCGGAGTTATGACCCCCTAGCGAAGCCGGGTATCCTGCTAGTATGCCATAATTTCTAGTAACGATCGTCATAAGCGACCGACTGTCTTAATGTTTTTAATTGATGTAAGCGCCGTGTGATCGGTAATGACTTGAAGGTAAACACTGGAGTTTCTGATGCCCCCAGGAACAGCAAGACATTCCTGTTCCATTTCTGCTAAGAATAGACCACCATAATAAATTACTCTTCTAAACCATCGTCGCCCACCTGGCCAAGAATAAAGCCTGTGGCATAGCCAGAAGCATCTGTTGTCATGAAAGATTTGTTCACGTCCTGGGGGACAAGTATAGGTGCCATAATTAAAATATGTTTGAGTGCTTCAAATGCAAACTACCATTCGTCAGAAGAGTTGAGTTCAGTGAACGGATGTCATGCTGTGACTTTGGGATGGGAATGGTTTGAATGGCATTTGTCTTGAATCTGTCGGTGTCTATGCCGGCATTAGACATCAGTGGTGAAACCATTTCTTAACAAACGACTGCTTGTCAACTTGAAATATTCACGTATGTAACCGAACATAATGTAATGAATTAAAAATTACAATAAAAATATTTGAAATTGAATGTAAAACAATTTATGTTAATATAACATTAATATGTACTTTTAAACCCGTTTACGTCTATTGTAAGGTTCTAAAGATTATAGTGATTGTAACACTATCTTAGTGATAACAGTAGATAAGTTTAGTAAATATAGGATTTATTTACAACGGGAACAGGATACATAAATACATCAACACTACAGAAACTAGACTACATCGATGACTAGACTATACTGGAACTATTACTACGACAGGAACACATCTAACTATGTTAATTCCACCATTCTGCCAAGGCAACGGCTGAACTCGATTGAGTCCATACACTCGTCCAAGCCTCGCTTCTCCTCCCCCCTTCCGTCTAATTGTCAGCCAACGCCTGATTATATACCTTCGAACACATGGTCGTACATGCAAGTGTCTCTTTTATCTCGTCACGGCATGCCTACTGAACAGTGCATATTCCTTTGAAGTCATGTGGATCTTGTACACAGAGCATAATTATGTAGTTTGTAAATGACGTATGGGATTAATTACATGTTTAATTAGATCATCGCCAGTCCGCGCCTTAAAAGAAGTTTATACAGTGTTGAAAGGTCAATATCATATATTATCAACAATCAGCTGAGGTCAAAAAGTACTAAGCACCTAGATGACCGTTCAATTTGAAAAGTACTTTGTTACATTTTACACCCTTTAATCTGTAAGGAGTCGTTGCGGCTCAGTGAGTAAACAGGATGTCCGGGATTCGTTTCCCGGGATATTTCAGCTCGTTTGCACTCATGTAAGTGATGCAGGATGGGAGCCTGGCACGGAAGCGCTTCTAGTTCAGTTGGGACCAAACAGGAGTTTCCGTGTACATGTGACGTGCACGTAAAATAACCCTTGACAGTTGGAATTCCATTGATCGGGAAAAATATCCCTCAAAGAACCCGTCATTAATAGCCCGATTGGTGTAAAAAGGTTGAACATTAAACTATTTCATTCATTCAGCTGGGTAAATATTTCACAATATTTCCCAATATCAAATAGATAACAATCGCTGTTAAATAGACCATCCTTTATTGATGAATTAAATGACTTATACTGATAACAAATCACGTGGATCTAAAGTTTCATCAATAAGGTCAGAAGTTAGTAGTAATATTATAAATATCATTTCCACATTAACTCCTCAAAATGACCAGTTTAAAGAAGTTGTTAGTGCTTTGCATCTGTCTATCTGGGACAATTACCATCTTTTCTGATGCGATAGCGGTGAAGCCTTGTAAATTTAACAGTACTTGTTCGTGTAATAATGCTGATGGTTATATCGATCTTCATCCATTAGCCAATAACAACAATACACCCCAGTAAGACAGGTTTTTATAAAGATTTATTACTTTATTTGTATGTAATAAAGAAGTACGTACACCAATACACAATTCATAGGTGTATCAAACGTATCCCTGTATGTTCATACATAATCAATCATGATCAAAGCAATATGTGTATCAAAAATATACATCTATGTTAATACATAATAAATATGATGAAATAAATGTGAAAATGATTTATTTTGTATAATACCACTGACATTAAATGTATATCATGTATCTTGACTTTCATTATCTCACTTTTAATTTATAGTGAACCCTATATTAGTAGAATAAACAAATGATATTTCTTTAGATTAATGAATTTCTGCCATGTAATATAAACAAATGATATTTCTTCAGATTAATAAAATACTGCCATGATAGTCTCAAATGACAAATTACCTCTTCCTTTTATCGTCATATAATTCTTAACTCAACAGTAACTCTCAACGACGATTTTTTCAACATTCAGCTATTTGTTAACGGGGGCGTTCCTGCTTCCCCGGATTCAAAATAAATACAAACACATATAGCTCAGTGTCATTAAATTATGACATTATTTTAAAATGGATAGGTTCTTACATATTCAATTGTTAATTAAATCACTGTTTTGGCCACAATCAAATGTATACTATTCTCTTAGTTTTTCATTGTCAGCATGCATTATTAGTGTTAGGCTCTGAGTGTTTCCATAATATCAGCCCATGGATCCCAACAGGATAAAACACACCAATTCTCGGATTTTAAGACATTTTTTTCAATAAATCAGTCATCAAGTTATCGAGGCCATTGGTAAGCC